ATACATGTTGAGAGTGCCGCGTCAACCTCAACACAATGAAGCACCGCACCCCCGCATTCTTTACCACTTTTTCTTCCCCCTGCCTGAGTTTTTTTCCCCTCCATGTCATCCTTTCTCCCCTCCCTCCCTTTCTCTGTCTCTCTCTCCCCCTCTCTCTCTTCTCTCACTCCCCCTCTCCTCTCCGCGGGGAGCAGTAAGCGTAGGGATGAGCACAGGGGAGGGAAGGGGTGCAGCGCGTGGCGCCATTGTTGTCAGAATCACATTTCAGTTGGGCTCATCAAAGCCTTTCCCCATTGCCTAGTGGCGCTTGGCGCTCATCCGTCGGTCAGACAGTCTGTGTCTGTGTGTGTGTGTGTGCGGGCGTTTGTTTGTTGTCTGTCTGTCTGTCTGTCTGTCTGTCTGTCTGTCTGTCTGTCTGTCTGTCTGTCTGTCTGTCTGTCTGTCTGTCTGTCTGTCATTCACGGCCACAATCTCCGCTGTACTATGGGGCACGTTTTTGGGGGGACGATCGGCTCTAGTGAGCCGCCTGTAAGGTAGGCAACATCCGCCAAAAAAAACTGTAAGTAGGCAACCCACGGTGCACCGCCCATCCCCCCCCCCCTGTCAGCCGGACCTTATACCGCGCCTGTGTAGCACCAGGTCTCGTATTATCGGGTGCGTACGAAAGTATGTCGGCCGAGCTCCGCGCCGAAGCCTCCGAGGCTATGAGCCCAGTCCCAGCAGCCTCCCTGCCCCCGGGCGGGGCGGCAGCCTGATCCTGATGGACTGATAATCGTCGAGGAATCGAGTTATTGCCCGGCTTCCCCCCACCATCCTTTTCCCGTCGCAAACGCCGCGCTGTGCCAATCCAGGCGGCGCCTAGCTTAAAACAGCCTCTGCACCGAGGACTTTTAATCGTTGGGTGTATCGTGGTCTTTACGGTGACGTTTCCAGAAGCCGAGAGAACTGCATTTGAGCGGCGGTAGTGGTTAGTGAGGTTCCGCTGCCCCTCGATGAACCAGGCCCCAACACCTCCGACCGCGCCCCTGCTCTTGTCCGCCACGCCCCGCCTCCTGCCTCTTCTTGCCCTTCGCCTCTAAAAGCCGGCGGTAATGTACTTTGAGTTTCCTTCAGAGGACTCTACTCGCTTGCCGGACAAAGCCCCGCTCTGCCGTGTCCTGCTCCTGCCGCCCCGCCGCCGCCGACTCGGCGGAAAGCGTGTACTAACTCAATTTGAGGAGCAAAGTGTCGAATGAAGCATGAGGACAGGCCCACTTAAAGGGCGGCGGGACGAGGTGGGCTGCCGTCGTCGGGACACCCCGGGGCCGGGCCGGGGGGCGGGCTGGGGCGACGCCAACCGGAAGTGCCCGCCGCGACCCAGAGGGCGACAGAAAGGGCCGTGTGGTGGGAATGACCAAACCTGCTGCCTTGCCTGCTGCTCACAAGAAGAACTGAGATGAAAAGTCGCGGAAAGTAGTGGGGGAAAAAATGAGGAAGCAATTATTGTGATGGACCTCCAGCGCCGCGCTGCGCGCAGGTGACCTGGACAGGACACGACGCAGGTCGTAAGGGTTTGTGCGTGTGACTAATGGACGTAGAGGGATGTATCTCTCCGCTACCGTGAACGTCGTGCAGCTGGACGCTGGACCACCAGAGCCAGATCCCCGTCCTCCTCCTCTTGTCCTTCACTCATCACGGAGCACCTTTTCCCAAGGATGGCCGCCCCAACGCTGTCCCCGGCCCGCCTTGCTCGCGTTCCGCCGAGAAAAATAAGAGAAATAGCAGACGATTGGTGCGGAAAATAAAATTGAACCCGCGAAGCAAGGCGGGCGGGCGGGCAGGGATGCCGACCAGGACGAGACGAGACAGCGCTCTCTTTATAGTAGGAGATGGGTAGGAGTGAGGTGGGGGGGGGGGGGGAGGTAATAATTTACCAAAGAGACGCTATGGCGATGCGCCCCGCCGGTGCTGCTGCTGCCGCCATCCGAGCAAGGCTCCCGCCGCCGTCCATCCTGGGGGCCCTCTCGCGGAGGACGCGCCGACAGGCAGCGATCACGATCAGCAGCCCTTTGTGAGATGCGTGCTGTGGCCCGGACGGTGAGGGACAAGCTGTGGGGGGGACGCGGCATCCCCCCACCGCAACCCCACCAACCACCACCACCATCCATCTACGGGGCGGAGAAGTAGGAAATCAGGTGTCAGTTTGTGGCCCTCTCCCCATGTCGTGCAGTGCCGCCGA